TCTTTGGGTACTTTTATTTGAGTGTATTTCATTTCAGGGTTTTATTTCGGTGTTATTTTGATGGTTTTTTTAAGGCGTTAACCCTCAATTGAGTGTAACCTTCAATTGATGATCCGAAATCACACCCAAATTTGAGCGTCCTTTTTAAGTGTTAACACCCAAATTTGAGCGTTTTTTTTAGTGTTGAACACTCAAAGTTGAGAGTTTTTTTTCGTAAGGGACCCTTTTTTACCATATGTTGTGTTGGCAAAATATCAGAAAAAAATAGTAGTTTACCAATAAAATATGACAACAAATTGAAGAAAGTAAAAACAAATAAGTCATAACGTGAGGATCCAGATAGCACAGATAATCGATCAATTATGAAATAAAAAAAGTAGTCTTTTTAAGAGCCGACAAAAGAAAGACAGGCAAACTTATTTACACCTCATTCACGGTGCAAATACATGTCTGTACTTAACGCATTCTGTCTCTTACAAGTAATATTTTGTTATAAGACTTCTTTTAACTTATTTCTCTTACGGAGGTACGAAAACTAGTAAAGAGCCAACTTTTAAAATTTCATTCTTAAAAGTATAACATTAAAGAAACTTATTTGCTCCTAGCTTAATCGCGGTACAGGTGAGATCGAATTAATTCCATATTTCGCCTCATAGAAGGCGAAAAAGGCATTAATATTTTACAACAAGCCTTTTACTGATTCATGTTTTACAAAACTGCCAAACCTTCTACAAAGCCGGATTTTGCAATTTGGTCCTTAAAATTATATAATAAATAAGATTATTTGCACCTTAATACACGATAAGACATCAGAATCAAATTTTATTTTACTTATTTTTTCCAAAAAATCACTCTATACAGAGATATAGGCAATTCTCCTGATTACGTATATCGCAATTATATTGCGATTTTATCAATATTTTAGCCGTAATTTGGGATAAGAAAAATTCGTTTTGACAGAGGTTTCCATCGTAACTCCTGCAGATCCTTAAAGGATGCTAGAAGATCGGAAAAATTTGCATGAAGTCGATAAAATAGTCTATTCCATTTCAATGGTATCTCTAAATAAATTTCTTACAATATCTTCTGTCTCACTCAAACACATACATTGTCTTTATCTAACATATTGAAGCGCCATCTCTTGCAAAATCCGACACTTACTGCTAGATGCAATTTTTACTGTCTTTACCATTCTATATTTTAGCTAAGCGTACAAATTACCATAAATTGCAGTTTGGTGAATATCTTTTTTTCTACGCTTTCAATCGTAGTTCAAAAGACTTTGTATTATTCGTTTATGTAATCTGTGGTGTGAGACGTAAGCATTTTGTACATATGAGCTACAGAACGATTACACTAATAAAATGTTATGTTGTCAAGTGATAGCTGTTTTTTAATTTTTTTCCAATTTTACAACAAATTCGTCTGTCACACCACAATTTTATGTCTATTTCAAGGTGAAAGGATTTTCAATTCCGTTCAATCAATTCGGAGAAATTTACTCAATTGCAATGTGTCGGTTGTTCTGACTTTTCAGCATCCTCGTTAAGGCGATGCTAAACCGGAGATCAAACTCTAAAAATGTCGCTTTTACCAACGACTTGTGTATGTATACGTGCGATATTAATGCAGTGTGTAGTAGGGTGTAGTGATCATAGACTTATAAGATAGATCGCACGCCCCATTGGCTTAGTTTACACCGTCCTGTTAATTAATACGAGTATCAGGTTGGTACGAACTAAGTACTTGATATGTCACTGCTTACACCGATTTCAAAATAAGTTATGATAGGCTTTTAGGTTTTCTATTTCACAAACTTCTAATTCTAATTTTAATCTTGAAGCGACTTTAACCTAATGCAGCAGTGATGTATTTAATCCGATTGAAAACGAACTAAGCATTTACAGTGCGTCAGGATCTTTTGATACGCGTACTATAT